GTTCCTTCTGAAATATGCAACAGTGAGACACACAGCACTTTGAGGAAACATCTACCAGAGCACCCAGACGTCACATTGTCTGGCTGTAAAACAGTCCTGTTGAATCATCTCAGTCTCATACAGCAGCTTTGAGAGACAGAGCCCTGCTGCTGCCCCTAGATCTGTTTTGCTGGGTAATTACACTGGTATATCTGTATCACCAGGGGATGTCCTGGTACAGAGTGGGCAACCAAAGAAGTTTCATCACAGGAGATAGATTGAGGAATAATTGTGTTCTTTGGTGCTTCTGGAAAGAGATTTATTCTTCTGAGTTTTCTCTACTTATTTCTTCTATATCACCAAGGGAAACCCTGGTGTCTGCTCCTGCTGTGATAAAGCTGAGGTTTTTCCTGAGTAGTACTAGTATGAGAAGTACACACTTCTTGTCCTTTTTTATAGTCTGTCATGCTTTGCTTGGCATGTGGATGGCTAAGGGGGAATGTGATGATAATCTGTACCTATCTGAATGATATATGTACCAGGAAGGAAAAGCAGCTGTTTTGGAAAGCAGGAGAAGTGTAACTAGGAAAAACTAGAAAAGACTGAACGTCAGGAAATGCATTGTGACAGTAACATCTGTTGGAAGGCAGAGTAATCTCCCTTTGAAAATGGTGGAATCAGCATTGCTTTTGACATTGGAAGCTCAATGAGACAGAACCTAGATTGGTCTATGAAGCATTTTGCTTCCAGGGAAGCCCTCTGTGTGATCCAGTAGGTTTTTTCCATCTCTGACTTTGGCGGCTCCATCTTTCTGATGATTCCTGGGTGATGAAATATCATTATAACCTTTTGAAATAATATATCGGTGCCTGAAGAGCAGAGGTGATTTTTCTCATTTACAAGTGAGAGTGGGTGCATTAAATTACTGTGCCTGTTATTAAATGGATTGAGTAAAGAGTTTCCTGTGTTTAAAACAGGACGTTTTCTCCCCATCTCAAACGAACCACCCGAGACTCTGCTTGGGTTGGGAGTGGAAAAGGTGAGGGTTAGAAGCTTAAACATTCTTCGTGTTCCCTGAGGCTCAGGTTAGCAAAGCTGCTTGGCACCCTAAAGCATTTTGGCAAACACAGCAAGTAACATTAATGCTGATTTACAGAGGATGAGGAAGGCTGTGCTGTGTCTGCCACAGATCAGGAGAGACAGAACCAGCCCTTCTGGTCCATCAAAGCTTCTATTTGTTAATTCAGCTCTGGGGGAGATGAAAATATCCAAAATACTGGCAGACACATTGACTAAATGCATAAGTTATTTAACTCGAGAGTCATACTTCTGCTGCTTTTTTTAGAATTAATTAGAAAGTTGTGGTGCTCCTTTAATTTTTTTTTTAATCATATCCAGCAGTTGGTGCTATTCTTGATAACAATTTTTTCTGCCTCTTCATGCAGTGCAAAAAACTGGTAATTGTCTGGTACTGCTGAGCATTGTAACTGGCAACATTTGAGACTCCAGACATGGTGATGAATTGTACTATGATATATTAATGTTATTTTGATCCCTGCTCTTTCAGAATTACATTGATCCAATTAGGTTAAGTAGCTTGCCATCTAAATTAATTTATTTTACTCTATTAATCTCCTTTACTTTGGGTCAGAAACAGAAATGTAAATCAATCTGTTATGTTGCATATCTTTTTTGAGGGAGGTAATTAAATTACTGAGTAGATACACATGTTGAATTTGTTGTTCAGTATGTTAAACACTATTGCCATAATTGCAGAGTGAAGTGGTGCACGCTCAGTAGTGGAATTGGAGTGCTTGTTACACTTAGTTTTGATAAGCTTTCAAGAAATGGCAGTACATGACTTGCTGTCCCTGGATGCTACTGCTGTGTGCTTATTCTGTGGCAGAGCTTTTAGGATATTAGGCATTTCTGGAAGGGGGGGGTTACAGCTTCTTCCCCTACCAGAAATTGTTGGGCTTCCTGGTGATGTGTCTTCTGTAGGTCCCCAACCCCTATAATGCAGAGATACCTTTCTCCTGGCTCATTTTCAAGCCCGTGCTAGCACTTTGCATGGCAGGAAGACAGATGTCTTAGTAATGATGTCTTAGTTACTAAACTAAGAGTGTTAATGTAGTCACCAGAAAAACTTCCTCATTTTCTTTAAAAGGCTCTTCAGCTGTACTTGAAATTTCCATGATATGAATTCCTTCTTTGGCTGCTACGTGAAGGCATACTTCAGTTTTTATTTGGTTAGTCCAACAGTGGGACTCTATCATCTTGTTCCTGCCAGTCTTTAACTGCTCACAAAGGGAATTCTTACTGTTCAGTTGGCATTTCCATTGGTCTAAATTGGAATCTCATCCTGATGAAACACATCTGATAGGGAGACTGATGACAGGGAGATCAGAAGTTTGTTCTCCTGCTATAGTTCCTCACTTTAGTAAGGAGTTTGCAAGAGGCTCACAGACAGCATTGATGCAAAGGAATGAGATCCAGTGGTTGGAAACTGAAGGTTGACAAAGCCAAGTGGGGAGGTACAAAGTGTGCTGCTTTTCACTCTGAGTGTAATTAACAGTTAGAAACTTAACAGCCTCGTCATAGCTGCTTCATCATGGGAGATCTATGCAGTAAAGGAATGAACAGTCTGGTCCCATCACAGTTATTGCATCAGAAGGCTAAGTCATGTCAAATGAGCTGCGTAATGTGACAGGTCAGCTTGCTGATCACAACGCTCCCTTTTGGTATTAAAATCTATGACCCCATGAAATATTTTCTAAACCTCTACCTGAGGGTAGAGCAAGAGAAGCAGAAAGGTCATCTTTATCATCGCTCCTGTCAAACACTTTGGGAATAGCAGAGCACAAGGTGAGTTGATTGCTCAGTCTCTGCCCTTATGCCACATCTGTTATCCTGTACCTTGCCTGCGTTTTGTCCCACTAAATAAAAACTGCTCCAGTACCCAATGTGAAATCCCTTTTCCAAAAAGCATGCAACTTGGCTTCAGCAGGAGTGGGATCTTATTTTTTGCCTTTACAAAATTTATGAATGCCCTCTAAGCAAAAGAACCTGTAGTGGTGTTATATAAATAATAATTAAGAAAGCAGCTGCTCTTTATGGTAATGGTGGTAGAAAATGTAGGTAGAGCACACTTAATTTCAGGCAGACCATCCAGAGGCAGCAGGCACGAGGGCTGAGATGAGTGTGGGTGCCAAGTGCCATCTGGAACAGCTTGGCTGAGGTGTCCTGGGCTAACTTGGTGAAATGTATAGAGCATCTAAAGTGGTGCTAGGTGCTCAGTTAGGCAGCCAAATCCTGCTGTAGGTGCTGGGGTTGGCTGAGATCCAGAGCAGTTCCTCTACAGCCCACCTAACGCTGCAGTGATGTAACATTCATTATACATTAATATTCTGATGTTTCCCACAAGCTGAAAAGTTTGAATAAAGAATCTGTGCTTGAATGCTTACTGTGTGCGTTAAGCTTTGCTGTCTCCATGCTTTTAAGCTGGTATTTATTTCTCTCTTCACCATCTTTAATTCACCTTTTTTTTTCCCTCATACCTTAAGATATGGGCTTTTAAAACAGTTAGCTCTCTAATAAATTCCAATACAGTTCCTAGCAAAACCAGATCCTGAAGGTCCTGATTTTGACTGAGCTGTTGGATATTAACATAATACAGATAAGTCATTAGAACAATGAAAATTAAATATTCATGTTCTAGTTGTAATGTTTATGTATATACAAGAAATATGTAGCAGCACTGTGCGTGAGTTCACAAAATACAGATAAATGTGTGCAGCATTAACCAGGTTTCAATTCTAAAAGGATCTGATTTGCTCAAATAACCATTGCAAAGGAGAAATGCATATTTAGAATGGAACAACTTTCTGGACTACTTTTCAGACTCTTTTTCAGACTACTGAAAATCTTTGGCAAAATTCTTGAGTCCTTTACAGGTGGTGGTGGCGGCATTTAGAATCATAGAATCTTTAAAGGCCATCTGGTCCAACACCCTGCAGCAAATAGGGACACCTACAGCTCCATCAGGTGCTCACAGCCCCATCCATCTCTGACCTTGGGTGTCTCTCAGGGCACTTGGTTTTGGTTTCTTCTATGTTGTGCTTTTGCATTTCAATAGGATGTTTGTCAAAACTGGAGCGTCATAGCCTAAGGCCTGTCCTGAGAGTCAACATGCATACATATTCTTCTGTCCTTGTTAGAAATGCTCTTTAGATAAAGAGTTGAAAAACAGATCGATAGCAGGGCTGTTACAAAAGCAGAGGCTGCTTTCCCTGTTTTACGTGTTTATTGCAAAAAGGATCTTTCCATAGTTGGCACGTGGGTGCTCCTTTCTGGGCGTTTCTGAAAAACAGTCACTGCAAGTCAATATCCTTGATAGCATTGTCAGAGGCAGGAGGGGAAGTGTGAATGAGAACAAAATGTCTCATCACAGACGTGGTCTTTCACCATCTCCTGAGACGTTATTTCAAGTTGTTAGACTTCTATTCGTGAATATCCTTTTCAGATGATGACAGTAAACCCAGTGCTCTGATTTTTCTCTAGTGTTCTTCCCTGAGTGTCAATGGAAGCTCGTTTCATTTACTGAGTGCTAACCTAGTCTTTGGGTTGCAGTTTTTGTAGCATAGTAATGTAGAAAAACATTTTCTTTTTCCAAAACCTACCGCTACTTAATAATACTCCCATCTCTAGATTGAAGATTTACAGTGAGATATGGTAAAAATCATATGAATGATGCAATACCGAGATGTGCTGCACGCAGACCTCATTTGGAAGAGAAAGCAGTCTGGAAACCTGTATGCTTTTCACAATTAACAAAGGAAGTGCTCGTGCACTGCAGCTTTCAGTACAGAGCTGTATTTTCTCCTATTGCACGCACACCCTGGTAGTCACTGCATCGTTAATGTTTGCCTTTGATTGCTTTCTCCAACGGAACCACTGAAGGACGGAGTCAAGGTGACGTGGCCTTAATGTGACCAGTGTGCTCTGTTGTCTTTTTTTTCCAGGGGCCTGTTAGCCAGCAGCTTCACAGAAACGCATTATTTGAAGGATGGTACTGATGTGGTTCTCGCACGCAATTACACGGTAAGGCTGTGCTGCGTGGCTACGTGATGCTTCATCGTTAAAGCTCAGAGTGCTCTCTGCTGGGATCTGAGCCACAGGATGAAACAGCAACATGAGTGATCTCTTCTTACTGTTGCCTTCAGTACCTTTTTGACTGCTGTGATCCTACGCGTGAATTTTCAGAGTGTGACTTTAAAGGGAAACTGTGGCGTTGTAACCATGTGATTTATTTATTTTTTATTATTTTTATTCCTCCCCCTACTTATTCCTTTACTCAGCTTTTTGGAAATATAGCCATTAAGACTTCATAATAAGGCAGCCATTGCTGTGGTGTTAAGGAGGAAAGGCCTTGGGTTCTGGGAGGGAGGAAGCACTGTATGATTGCCATCATGCAGAAGCTGCCACCAATGGGCTCAAAGGCCTGGGTGGGTTTCTGCACTGGAATCCAGGGCTGGGTTTGGGGGGGTGAAGGGGTGAGTTGTTTGGGTTTGTTTTTTAATCCAGATCATGCAGCTGTTGTGGATATACTTATATCTGCGTGTGGGTATGGCTAATCTGCTCCTGGTTAAAGGCAGCACAAAATGCTTTTTATCATGAATAATTTAAACTGCTTTTTTTAATAAATACAAGGCGCTTTAAGGCAGTAAAGTTTTTGTCCTCTAAGCAATATCAATGCCTTGATTAGAAACAATGCAGCAAGTGATTTTAATTACAAAGTATATCTTTTATCTGCCTGAGTAAACCCAGCTCCTGTAAAGTACTAGTTATGTCACGTTATTTATTTATTGACGTTGCTGGAAGAAGCACTGTGCTTTCTGTTCCCATCCATAATGGGCTTTGCTGGTGTTAGTGAAAGGCTTTATTTCTGTGCGTTACATTTTACTTCTGAAGAAGCATCTTTGTTACCACCCCAGACCTCCCAAGTAAAGCAATCACTGTGAAAGCTTCCAGTGCTTTTCTGTTTGCTGGATGCTCGTATCTTCTTCTAGATTTGCTCAGCAGAAAAGTCATTTGTTTTAGGAAGAGAAAAGCTGTACAGACTCTCTAAGGAAGTAAAAAGCACACAGCACATGATCGGAGTAGCAAACATTAACATGAACATGAGTGTGGCCAATGATAGCTAAGCTTTCTCTTCCAAACAAACACAAAAAAGCAGCCTAAAAACCTTCTGTTTTGGAAATGGCAGTAAGTAATGAATCATAGAATCACCAAGGTTGGAAAAGACCTAAAAGATCATCCAGTCCAACCATTCACCTATTACCAACAGCTCCCACTATAACAACACTAGTGTTTCTTTTTGCTGCCTAAAGGATTTTTTCTTTTCTAGAGGAACAGAGAATTCATTTTTCATCCAATGCTGCAATATGGTTTAAAAAACATAAGCCTCAGATTTTATTGTTGTATCTCTTTTTCACCGTGGACATCAGTATAGTCTGCCCAAGGAGGCTGTGGGTGCCCCATCCCTGCAGGCATCCAAGGCCAGGCTGGATGTGGCTCTGGGCAGCCTGGTCTGCTGGTTGGCAGCCCTGCACATAGCAGGGGGTTGAAGCCAGATCATCATTGTGGTCCTTTTCAACCCAGGCCATTCTGTGATAGTCTGTAGTTGAAACCAAATATGATTTCCTAATGAAAGTTGCTTAGTCAGATTGTGCCAGAAGGTTAAACCAAGGTAGCCTGGGGATTTCCGTGGCACGTGTGCTGGAGCCCAGCTTGTTCTGCTGTATAGCACCTGGAGGGAAAAAAATGGCAGTTGCCAAAAACTGGTCACTATGAGATGATGTCAAGCAAGGATAGAGTACTAATTCAAGTGTGACAAATCAGCTGTGGTTATTTGTTTTTAGAGAGTCATCCATTTCATATACTAGGGTACAGGAATAAAGGGCTTTTGGCAGGAGTGGAGAAAAAAAACAACCTCTTGCAGTTTGGTGGAGTTACTGAACTAGAAATCAATTTTCTACCAGTCCAGTTGCAGGACATGCTCTGGTAAGTTTACATTTTAAGTATGGAACTTAAAGGAACTTTGAGCATAGCACGTGGGTCTTGGAGAAGCTGTGAAATGGGCCACAACAAGACGCTCAAATTTAATGAAATAGCAGGTTGTGTGCAGAGAGGCAAAGAAATCAGGAATTTTGCCGTAATTCACTCTTTGATAAAGACAACTACCTGCACTGCTGCCACAGTCTGCATGGGTTGAGATATCAGCTCAGCCTTCTTATTTGCTGAGTGCTTGGCTTGACAGCAGTGGCTGGTTCCCAAGAGCTCTGCCTTAGAGTTGGTTTAAGTGACACAAGTGAAGTGACTTTGTGTTTGCTTTCACACATGTCAGGGATACTGCACGAGTCAGGATTTGTTCACAGGGCTCCTGTTTCCTCATTCTTATCAGCTCGATGAGTTTAATACTGAAATAGTGATATAGCTTACTTGTGCTGAAAGCCTTGAAGTCCACAGCAATTGTTACTAAAGCAATCATGCCCCAAAAATTCAGTCTATGACTTCATCCCTTTATTGTGGCTTTATCCTTGCTAACAAGCTACCAGGTCTCTATGAGTACCGATGATTAAAAAAAAAAAAAAGATGCTGGAGAGTAAAATACCATTACCCTGCTACTGTCATTTTGATCACCGATAAAAGCTATCCTGACTGTCTAAATACAAGCCTCATGATGTTGTGCTGTGTTCTGTTGCTCACGTTGGAAACACAAATGCTCTAAGCAAATATTTTTCAAGGTACATCCTTATTTGCGGAAAAATTTTGTCTGAATCATTCCATCTTGCCCAATGTTTTCTATAACAATGCTTTCTATAACAAAATCAAGATGTTCTTTAGAAGTCTATGTGAAGCTCTGTAAGTAAAAGCCGTGCCCCAATGCTGAAAAGGTTAATTGATGCAGCCAGATAGATGTGGATGAACCAAGCAATAAAAGGCACAGTGAGATGACTGTCAGGTTGGAGCATGAGTGATAACTTTCCCTTGCACTAATAAGGAAGAAACCTTTTACAACGGTATTTTCAGTTTCCAAGTGGCATTCAAAGGAGCCATGAGAAAAGAAATGCTGGACGTGACACAATCGTTGCTTTCCAGTCAGTCACATAATTGGCAATGTAATATAACCTTTAGTCAACAATAAAATTAACCTTGATTCCAGACAGATACGTCTATGCTGAGAAAGTATCTCTGCTGTGGGTGCTTTTTGCAAGCAGTGAATTATTAAGGAAATACAATAACCTAGCTGCAAAATGAAATTGGATTGTTGCCTCTCAAAATAGAAGACCTCTTAGTCGTGGTTGCTCTTAATAATGTGCAGCCAGTCGGTTGGGTAATTCAATAAAAGGTTTCCTTTCCAAACTGCTTCCCTTCCCTTTCACTTACTTTTTTTTGTTCCCAAACTCTGTTTTGGTTTGTCTTTTTTTTTTATACCTGCCTTTGTACACGAGTATCTCCTGTAGTCATACATGGACGTAGAAGATCTTGAAGATAAATATGTGGGTTTAAAGCAAGTAGGAAAGTATGTCAGTTGATTTGTAACTTTGTAAGGTGTTCTGTACTATAGCATTATATTAAATATCAAAAGAAAATAAGATTATCACAGTCGTGCAATTTAAACTCTGCTGGTGGTCTTTAAAAACAAAAATAACCCCAATCCTCTATCATCTAAATACAGTCAGGGTTTCAACTTGGAACACCTCGGACCATTAAGTCAGTGCTGTGAATATTTAGTGGAGAAGGAAAGGTGCTGCCAGTGGGCTTCTGAATGCTGTAGTCTGAAACTGAAAATAGCTTTGATAGAAAGGAGGTGGGAAACCCTGAGAAAACAAGATTGCTAAGAGTGCTGATGTATTTTCTCTTTTCTTGCAATCAGGGTCACTGCTATTACCATGGAAACGTACAAGGGTACCCCAGTTCATCAGTCAGTCTCAGTACCTGCTCTGGACTCAGGTGAGCCAATGTTTTAATAACACTTCAGCTCTTTAATAAGTCATCTTTCTACTCAAGTTCTGGTTTACCAATACCTGCTTTTCAGATTGTTCTGTGATTTCTGTAAACTCATTTACCTTGTTGCTCCGAAGAAAAATGGAATAGAAAATGCAATGCTGGGGATGTCCATCACAGAATCACAGAATTGCCAGGGTTGGAAGGGATCTCAAGGATCATGAATCTCCAACCCTCCATGGAGGGTCTTGTAGCAATGAAGTGCTTGGCTGTTCTGTGACTGGCAGTGCCCCAGGGCCCTCCAGCCCTGCTGGTGAGAGCTATTTCACCAGCAATGCAGGGCTGCTTTGCAGATGCAACTGGTGCACTGGGCAGCAGTCTAGTTGCTAGGAGAGTTTGCTCTGTAAAAGTGGCTGTGGAACTCAATAAACCACGATGATGACAGGTATGATGCTCACTGTTCAGATTTTTAGCTACTCGTTAATAAAAAAGTAGCAGATTGGTCTTGCTGAAAAGAAAATCTCTTCTGATTTGGAGAAAGGAACAAGCTGACAACACTTTAAATACACAATGGACACAGTTCAGGAAACAATTATCTTCCTTACTTGGACAATCAGAGGCTGGTATTTACTCACAGAGCTGTTCCAAATCACTGTAATTAACTGTAAATTGGCTCTAGTGTTCTCCCTGGAAAACCTAGTTTTCCTGTCAGGTTTCCAGCTGTCTCAACCTTTTTCTGGGTTTGTTTAATTTATCTACAAACAGCACGAGTAGCTGGAGTCTTTCTTTTCCCTTTGCATTTTGTGAAATAGTAATATTAGCATAGCTATTATACTGGAGCTATGGAATGGAGAGGATCAGAGCACAGTTTGCTACCAGGACAGCTCTCCCTGTTCTCTGCAGTGTGTTGGGTTCCCGTGGCTCATTCACACATAGAGAAGGATTTTTCAGAGTGCTTCAGTATGTATCTGGCATCTTCCACAGGTTTGCTTTAACGAACCCTTTGTGTGATAGCTTATGATTAGCAGTTGTTCTCATGGTCTGCAAAAATACAGTGCCGTGCTCTCGGTGCTTGAAGCACTGCATCACTAAATGGATCGAGTTGCTGTAAGGTCCACAGGGAACATGTGCATTCTGCAGGAAAGGGTCTGCACTGTTGTCTTGTTCTAGAGTCATCTAAGGAAAAAAAAAAAGCCTGTTCAGGACAAAGGATTTCCCCATACTAAATGCATTTTATTTCTTTTTTAATTTGCTCATCCTCCTCTTAAAAATGTTGAGCATGCTGAATCCTTTCCCAGTTTTAGGTAGTCAGATATGGCAAGATGCTAGCAGTGACATTCTTCTCTCATCTAGCACTACTGCAGATTAATCCTCAAAGTGCAAGTCTTTATTAGGCTCAATTCCTCATGGGAAATGGGCAGCAGCTTCTTTTTGAGGCAAAAGTTTTGCTCTAGCAGAACCGTGGCCGTATCTTGCCATCTATGCCCATGTAACTGCTGCGTTCACTGCTGAGGTTGTTCAAGACGGCGTCCATGAGTGATGACAGCATGTGATAAGGGTGACTGTGGAGTTACTGCACAAGGCTCGTTTCACAGCCTGTAGCCAATGGTAATAACTTCTAGTCATCTATGCTTGATTTGAGCCAGGGGCGTCTCGTCGTAAGGCTTCATAATGCACTGCCAGCTTCTTGAAACATCCAGGCCCTCATTAAAACTGGTTGGGAACAAAGAGCCCAAATGGTCATGCTGAGGCTCCGGGAGCACCGAGCATCTTTCAGAACCAGGCCTGCAGGTTATAACATACCTCCCTCACCAAAACATTACAGTAGCGCTGTGTCCCTTGAGAACGTGGGTAGATAGTTTTACTGCATGTGATCCAGTCTAAAATAACATGAAGGGAAATAGAAGAGTTGAGAACTGCTCCGTAGCTCAGGCTGCGTGAGGGCCATCCCTGGGGCAGCCCTTCCACCGGCAGCAGCGTTGGCAGGAAATGCTGCTCTCCTCGGAGAGGCTGTTTCTGGCTTTGTGACAGCTCCTGGCTGAATTTGGACGTATCTCTCTGTCTCGTTCTCTCCATCTGTGAAATTCATTTAATGATTCTTACCTACCTCACATGGCTGTGGCCGGAGTGCCTGAAACACATCTAGTGAAAGGAAGTGTGAGCTGTTGGCTCACCAACATCTCCAAGCACCCAAATCCCTCCACACCCCCTGGACACGCACCTTGGGCAGTGTTCCAGGCGTGGAGGGGTAGGAGCAGCGTCTTTTTCCCCCCAGGTTCATTAAAAGATGTGAAACTAATCATAAAGGAGAGATTTCAGATTCTAGCATGAAAACAGAGTGGTAGTCAGAGAAGCAAAATGGGATCACAGGAGTTACCAAGATAGAAATAGGGGATAGAACAAAACCCACTTCTATAAATCTGTAGTGTGCCTACTTGAATTCTACATGCAGTTCTTGTTCCTACCTCCTTTACCCTCATTTCAGAAAAGGAAGCATTATATCCAGAAGTTATATAGAGAAGGGCAAAAATGATGATCAAAGGTATGGAACAGCTTTTATTCAAAAAATAGACTAGGATTTGTCAGTTTTGAAAGGAAATGACAGAGAAAAGGGGTATGATGAAGTTAGACTGAATGTCACGCTGGAGAGGGGACAATTACTGAATATTCTCTGAAACCTTGAAGTTAGAAGTCATCAAATGAAATTTTAGAGTAAAGGAAAGCTTTTTTTTTTATTCACCACGTTGTGAAGCTTTGAAACTCATGATCACAGGTGGCATCAAGTGGCAAAAGCGTCAGTAGATTCAAAGCATGATGAGACAACGCAGGGAGGGGAGCAGAGGGAGCCTCTCCAGGCCTGTCAAACCCTGAGATGTCCCATACAGTTGTAGTGTCAGAGCTGGGACAACAGTCAGATTCTTTTTATGGGCTTTTATCTTACCACTAAGCATGTGCTGTTGGCCAGAGCTTGGGTCAGAGTGCTGGTCTGGAGGAACCTTGCTCTTCATCTAATATGACCACTAAGTGTTAATGGCGTATGGTTGCACATTTGAGAAGCATTGTTAGCTTATAAATATGCTGTGATTAATCTGCCAGTGTCAGATACTGAAAGAATGAAGTGTGAAATCTGCAGGCTAAGACACGTTTGGCTGGTTTGCATTTTTAGGGAGGTAGAGGAGAGTGATATAAAGATAACTGAGAGGCAGACAAAGTTCTTATATTCACAGACACTTCTATACTGCAGCTATGTTACATCCTCTCAGGCATAACTTTTGAGTGGCTCATTTTACATAAGATTACTATGGCATAGATTGTTGAATTGACACTGATAGCAGCCTAAAATGCAGGTTAGAGGAGAGTATTGCTGTGCTGCAATCTGTGTTCTGCTGGGTCCCCCAGAAGAGGAAGAGCTGAGTGCTGGAAAGGAGAGGTGTGTGTGCTGAATGGGAACAATGGGCAATCAGGATTTCCAGTGCTTCTGTCTAGATGAGAAAGCCAATTAGATTGTCAGAGCTTCTGGGCAGGTGAACATCTGACCAAACACAGTCGTTTCCTTCCTCTCCTGTGGAAATACCCTTCTGTTTATCTAGCTCAGAGGCTCTTCAAGGTTTTAGTAAATAATTTTGGCCTGCAGCCACCACACAACTCTTCACTGATAAAACTGTATACACTCGAGTGACTTCTTATTTTTTTTCCCCTGTTACTTTCTCTGCAAGTACAGAAGCTGGTATATACACAAAAAAATGCAGCCTGAAGATGAGCACAGTCTCTCTATGGTCTGTGCTGAAGTGCAGGAGCTAGCAGGGAAACATGCAGGACCAGGAGCATCTGCTCTGTGACCTCAGTGAGGGGAGGCTTTCAGAAATGCCTTAGTTTTTTAGGGATGCAAATCTCATGGGAAGCCTTTTTGTTCTAAAACACCAAGATGCTCTTGAAAATCCTGTGGATCTCCCTCATTGCCAGGTAATAAGCTCATTCATGTAAATGAAGTATTCAGTCATTGTCCATACCCACCAGTAACTGGAAGTGATAGCAGCAGGCATAGGGTTGCAGTAGGCAGTAATTCTTGGGGCTCCATGGTTCTGTGGCACGAGGCTGACTACAGCCATCTGTTTGTCAGATGAGCTGGCCAAACTCACTGCATCCCAGGCACAGTTAGCTGAAGGAGGCAGTTGTGTGCCTGTTGTCCCTGGGTGCACATTAATGTCCCCAGGCATCACTGGCACAACCATAACAGATGATCTCTATCAATTGGCTGAGCCTAATCCTCCTCCCTCCTGTCACATCTAAAAGCATTTATTAAAAATGAAATGTAATACATTTTTGTGACTTGAAGAAACATTTTACAAGCCTTTAATGTGATGTGCAAGTTTCAATCAAGCTTTTTTTTTTTTTTCCATACCATTTGCTACACGGTGCTGTTCAATGTGTTCATTAGATAGGCACTGATGCCAACTTCTTTTTACTCCTTCACCTCTCTCTGCTTTCACTGGTCAGCCTGGTCACGCTCCCCGTTAAGCACACAAGTGACACTTCTGATAACACGATTACTGTTTCTCGCCACCCAAATGTTGGATGTGGAATTGCATTATCGCATTTGATTCAAGTGTCTCCTTGCTTAAATTCCAAGCATCAGAGGTGCAGGCCAACATACATTCACTCTGGGCATGTCTGTCTTATGTGGAGGAAGGATTAAGTGCATGCTACTGTATTCTCTGGGTATGACTACATTTTTGACACTGTGCTCTAGAATATATTTTCAGGTTAATGAAAGGCATTGGCTGGAATAAAACATGTATTTGACTAACAGTGTGTCTGAGCAGGGGAACCTCTGCCACTGCTGCAGTATGTAAAGCAGTAATTCTACTGCTGTGACCTCCCTTTGAGATGCTGGCCTTTGTTGATGTGGGTCAGGCCTGCTATTTTAATAGAATTCTGATGTGCAGTATAACAGTATTACTGGAGTCTCGTGTGATGGCCTTCCTCAGCAGATCATTACTGTGTGT